ATAGAATAGAATAGAATAGAATAGAATAGAATAGAATAGAATAGAATTCTTTATTGGCCAAGTGTGATTGGATACACAAGGAATTTGTCTTGGTGCAAACACTCTCAGTATACATAAAAGAAAAGATACATTCATCAAGAGTCAAGAATCATAAGGTACAACAACACTTAATGATAGTCATAGGGTACAATAAACAACCAAATCGTACTAGGAAACAGTCAATATAAATCGTAAGGATACAAGAGACAAAGTTACAGTCATGCAGTCACAAGAGGGAGGGGATGGGTGATAAGGAGTGATGAGAAGATTAACAGTAATAGTAGTGCGGACTTTGTAAATAGTTGAACAGTGTTGAGGGAATTATTTGTTTAGCAGAGTTTAGAGGCCTTGAGATTTTATTTTATTTTAAAAAAGAGTTATTCGTTAAATTAGAAAAGGCTAAATTAACATACTTCATGCTTTTACAGTTTAATTTTATTTATTTACATAAGCCTATTTATTTATAACACAATTTATCTGAAAAAAATATTACAAGGAAATAAAGGTTGTCTTCAACACATAATGGCAATTGGGACCAGAAGTTCTATAGCTAAGCTTTATGCAATCATAAAGCATTACTATATCACTTACTGAAAGTAATTGCTGCAGTCCCCATTGTTATTAACTAAATCCGACAATCCATTAGGCAAGGCAATTTCCTGCTGACCTCCCATAGTCAAAGTGAGAAGGAAAACCAGCAGGAAACTGCAAATCCCAGACTGGTAAGTGGTGCGGCCAAGTGGAGGAAGACCAAAATGGTGCACGGAGATAGGGAGAGATGCAGTGTGGGTCAGAGGGTGAGAATCAGGGAGAGTTGCTGTGGGTTGGGGAGGGGAGCGTGACCAAGAGCATAGTGCAAGTGCAGAAGGTTGGGGGAGGATGCAAGAATTGGGGAGACTTAGCCCAGTGACTTGCAACCTTCCCTGCTGTCTTTCTCAGTGACGTTCTGGGGAAGCCAGCAGGAAAGTTTGCAAATGGTGATCATAGGGCACTGCAACCAATCATAAAAGTGAACTGGTGACCATAGTGTGCTGGGACAGTCAGAACTCCAAGGGCTGATCATAACCGACATTAACTTTGAAAGGTTGCTGAATGTAATGGTCATAGAATGAGGATGACCTGTTAGCAAACCCAAGTAGTTACTGTATATTGCATGTGTCTGTCCGTGGAACACTAAATATACTAATCTGCACCTCTATAATTGTCAGGTTTGGTTCTGCAACCCAACAAGACAGACACAGACTTCAGAAAGTAATTAGGACTGAAGAAAAAAAAATTACTACCAACCTGCCTTCAATCGAGTATGCTGCATGAGTCAAAAAGAAGGCTGTGAAAATAGTTACAGACCCCTCACATCCTGGCCATAAACTGTTTCAACCCCTACCCTCAAAACGACGCCATAGAGCACTGCACACCAGAACAACTAGACACAATGACAGTTTTTTCCCAAATACCATCATTCTGCTAAACAAATAATTCCTTCAACACTGTCCAACTATTTACAAAGTCTTCATTACTATTACTATTAATCTTCTCATCACTCCTTATCACCCATCCCCTCCCACTTGTGACTGTATGACTGTAACTTTGTCGCTTGTATCCTTACGATCTATATTGACTGTTTCCTAATATGATTTGAATGCTTATTGTACCCTATGTCTATTATTAAGTGTTGTACCTTACGATTCTTTTCTTTTATGTACACTGAGAACATTTGCACCAAGACAAATTCCTTGGGTATCCAATCACACTTGGCCAATAAAGAATTCTATTCTGTTCTATTCTAATGATCAACATTTTGCCTATATTGACTAAAACAAGTCTGTTTGAACATTTGTTCCACTGAGCTGTGAGTTAACAAAGTAAGGAAACTTATTGTGTAAGTTGTTTAAGTATAAGATAACTACAATATTCAGAATCCTAAATATTTGGGAGATAAGAAATATTAGGAAATAATCACTTCATAGAGCACTAGGATGAGACAGTTAGTTTAGGAACTCCTTGCTTTACACTAAAAAAACACAGCTTTATGAACCTGATAAAGCTACCTTGTGAACATAGAGTTCCCCTGGCTTTGTAGTTTCAATATTCCCCCCTGCTTCAGCAGCTAGATCTACGACCACTGACCCTTCCTTCATCAATTCAATCATATCTTTTCGAAAGAGGATTGGAGCTTTTTTACCTGAAAAGACAAAAAAAAATTCTAAAGTTGTAAGCTATACTTAATAGAAATAATCCATTCTGTCACTTTTCTCTAGATAAAAAAGAACAGTTGAGCTTTTTCAGTTCTGCAAATTTCCAGAGAATCAGTCTTACTTACATAAACTTATAGGTAGTCCCAGAGGTAGGCTTCAAATATTTTAGCAAAGGGCTTTCGGCCTGGTTGCTGGATGGGCGTGACCATGGTGGGTGTGGCCTAGTTGGCCTCCTGTATCATGGCAGGGGGGGCGTTTTTGCCCTCCCTGGGCTCCAAAGGCTTTCCTCGAGCATCCGGGAGGGCGAAAACGGCCTCCCTGGGTGTCAGCTTCCGCTGGAACACGATGAAACTTCACCAATAAACTACTTTTACTCACGTTCTGTTTGTGGCAAGACTTGTTCATTGTGGTCTGTTTCCTCCAACACTCAGCAACAAATGGTAATTCCCGAGCAAAGCCAGCGCTGAGAGCATCTGCCTCTCAGCGCTGTTTATAGTCCTTTTCCCTTAATTATCTAAAATCCGCCCCAGAAACGCTTAATTATCCAACATCCGCCCCAACTACTTGCGCACCCCCACCCTGCAAAACTATCTCCAAGCTGAGCCCCGTGCCGAGCCGCATCCCACCCCGCCATTCATGCCGCCAATCCCAGAATAACCCCCAAAACTGCCAGTGCAAAACGCCTCCCACCTGGTGGCACTGAAAAGAGGAATGCCCACCGCCCAACAGCTGACAGGTCCACTCGAGAGCAGGCGGTGTGCCCAAAGGAACGCACACCACCAAGCAGCTGACGAGTCCACGCAAAGCTTCCCAGCTGGTCGCGCCGACACGAGGCAAGGTGGGATCATCAGGACCATTCAGGGTAATATGTCAGGTCCATGCGAAGCTTCCCAGCTGGTGGGCACAAGGCAAAGCGTTGCGGCCGAGGCGTCTGGACCCGGGACCATCAGGAACTGCTAGGGTAATGTGTCGGGTGATATTGGTGGCGTGTTTGAAGCCCAACACTGGGCTCCGAAGTCTCTCTGGAAGCCGGAAAAGGGCCCATTTCCAGCCTTCCCAAGCCTCCACGTGCGCCTTGCACTTACCTGCATTCAAAACTGGCCATGTGGGGACTCCTGGGAGGGGTGAGCGGGGCAGGGCGGGGCAGCCAGGAGTGGGATTTGGGGGTTCTCTGAACTGCATGGCACTTAGCTAGGGGCTCTCCCAAATCCCTGTGAACCCCCAGCAGCCCACCTCTGGGTAGTCCTTGACTTACAGCTGGTCACTTAGTAACCATTTCAAGCTTTGATAAATCTAGCTGAGAGGTACTTATGGATTCAAAGTTCCCCACCACTTATGTGACCTTACTTTGCCAGTCTGCATGCACAGCATCTCAGTCAAATCACTGCGTTTTATGATAGTTTTCTGAAAATTGGTATTTAGTTCTGCTTTTCAGTACCATAATACAGCACCCATAGCAAACAATTGGTCTGCTTAAGAACCGCAGCATTTGGTTAATGATAGCAGGTTCACTTAATGACTGTGGAGATTAACAACTGTAAAAAACAAACTCATTTTACGACTGTATGAGTTACGACTGTGATAGGCAGGCTCCATTATGTCATAAATCATGGACTACCTGCATAAATTTGGACGGGGTCATTCACAAAAACACATTTTACACATAGTGCAAAAATCACCATGTTGTTGGGTACTAAAGTCATGTCAGTCACCATTTCAGAACTACAGTCAATAAATTCTTACCCTTTAACTTACTTTCTTCAATATGAGTTGGAGCAAAGATTATTACTCCAATCAAACATTCTAGAGAAAATGAATCTCTATTCTACAGAATACTTACCAGGAATAAGTGCTGTTGTAATAATGATATCAACTTCCTGACATTGTTTAGCAAAGAGTTTCATTTCAGCTTCAATAAACTCTTTGGACATCTCCTTTGCATATCCTCCTTGGCCTTCCCCAGATTCTTTTATGTCAACTTCCAAAGGCTCAGCACCTAGTGATTTAAATTGTTCTAACGCAGCAGCTCTGCCAAGTAGAAAATAAAGCAAAATCTTTAATAACAAAGAAAAAAACAAATAATATACAGAACATAATAGCAGAAAAAAGGCTGCGCAGGAGTCTTCAACCAGAAAATCATATTCTCCCTTAAAATTGAGCTCCAACAGAAGCTTAGAATAAATTCAGATGTGTAACTAAAGTGATAATGAGTTTGTTCAATAAGAATTATTTCAGTACAGAAATAATGCCTGGAATTACTTGCTTTCTTAATCACGCAGGGATGTAATAAAAATTGAAATTTTCAGGAAGCCTGGAGGTCAAACAAAAGTGCTAGTCACCATGAGAAAACAGTAAGCCAAAGGATGTTCATATAAAGATCCTTCACTTTTCTATGAGATAAGCAGCTATGTAAATACGATGAATGAACAAATGAATGAATATCTCTATCTGTTTACTAAACAAACTTTATTTTATTTTCTATATTTTATTGTTTTTACTGTCTTGATATTATGATTTTATTGTTGATAGCTCTCATCATAATTTTTGTTGTACCACTGTGGCTTTGTTTATGAGGAGAAGGAGCATAAGAACAAAATAATTGTCAGGGCTCTGACAAATCCACCCCCATTCAAATCATAAGTCTCTAGCTGCATCTCTCAGATTAAAAAACATTGATTTATTAGAAGTGACCATGTCAGCATTACTTGGGTGCTGCCGACACTAAGATACATCATTCATTTCCCCCTTGACCCTGGTCTTCCCCCCACCCCCTGGATGTATATTCTCCAATGGGACACATACATAACCAAGAGTCATCAATCATGCTCTCCAGTAATAATCTTGTGCGCCAACAGCTTCGGCTGCCAAGAAGCATTTGAGGAATGTACTACTTTCCCCCACTCCCTTTCTGCCGGCAATTAAAAAGACCAAAAAAGTATTTTTTAGTTGACAATAATATAAACACTCAAGGTGGTAATGGGGATAGGGATATCACACTGAATGGCCTGAAAATAAGAAGGGAATAAATCAAATTTGAGACTACAATTCCAAATACAGATAGTCCTCTTTCACTAACCACCTGTTCAGCAACTATTCAAAGTTATAACAGCGGCAAACAAGAAGATTTAAAACTAGGCATCATAGTTGCAGCCATTCCAGTATTCCCTCAGTTACGTGATGGTGATTTGGGCGCTTGGCATTTGGCCATGACACTGCAATGTATCACAATCATGATTGCTGTTTGTGATCTTCACAGCTTCCAACAAGCAAAGTCAATAGGGCAGCCAGCAAGAGGCTACAAACAATGACCACATGATTTTTTTACCTAAAGACTGGAAGTGGATATTATAAGCCAGTGTAGTCGCACGATGGGCATGCTTTATGGCCACAATCAGTTAGAGATAGATTTGCCGGTCAATTATCACACTTAAGTGAGAACTACTATTATGTTCAAGCTTTACAGCTATAGAATCTCTTTTCATTTCTTCATCTTCTCGATGAATGAATGGCTAAAATGCATCCTGTTTGTCTTTCAACATATTCCTGAATACATAAAGAGAAATGGCTGAAAAGAGCCATTGGGAGTAACTTGTGACTTAGGTCACAGGAAGCCACCAGGGAAGATTGCATATGGCAATTACATGGCTATGGAGCACTGCAACCATCATAATTGCAAACTGGTTGCTAACAGCCCAAATCATGATCATGTCACTGTGGGGCTCTGAGACAACTGAAACATCAAGGATTAGTTGTAAATACCACTTGGTCAGTGCCATCGCAATTTCAACAGTTGCTGAATAAGTAGTTGGTAAGGACTACCTGTATAATAACAATGCAATACTATGGATTATCCCATACATTCCAATATACAAATATTAAAGTGGCTTTAATTCTTTGAAATACTATAATAATCCCAAAAAGAAAAGAAAGAAACCTGAGTCTGAATTGTCTAAGCAGGTGGCACCACTTAGCCAACCTTCACGCTTCTCAAAAGGCGTTAAAAAGGGTTAGAGCCTGGCTGTCAAACTCCCAGCCCATGGGTCAGATGCATCACATGCTGCCCATGCCTAGTTTAGCGAAGGGGAAAAAAGTTCCAACCTGTCATGTGACACTGCCATGACAACATGAGTTTGACACCCCTGGGTTAGGTAATTAATACCTTGAAGAGAAGCCCTCAGGAAGTTCCAGAACTATAGGTAATTTTATGAAGTCAAAAAATAACAATAATGAAAGAAAATAGTAGCAACCCACTATATGAATGTATTTGTATTTCAAAACAAGTTAAGTCAAGGTGATATTCCTTTAGTCCAAAATCTTATGTGAATTACTAAGGCGCAACCCCAAAAAATCTGAATTATTCCTTACACTATGTAATATAGTGATGTTCAATCATGCAACCTACTTGACTATTCAATAATTCTGGGGGAGAAAAGCCACAAAGTTATGTGTGGAAATAAACTCTTTGCAAGCGTTCTGATTATCCTTGAGGAACAACAGAATACCAATGAATTATTAACTAATAAATCCTGAGACCCACTTTGATATAGTGGTTAAGAAACCAGGCTAGAAACTGGAAGAGTGTAAGTTCTACTCCCTCCTTGGACACAAAAGCAGATGGCCAGTGACACCTTCTCAGACCCAGGAAAGTATCAACAGCAAACTACTTCTGAAAAACTTTGCCAAAAAAATTGCAGGGATTAGTGCAGACAGTTGCCAGGAGTCAACAGTGACAGGAAGGAACAAAATAAATACATCTTTAAGATTCATATATGTCTACCTGGTATCAAATCCACGAACTACAGCTCCCATTGATTTAGCTGCTCCTGCAGATGCTAATCCAGCAACTCCACCTCCAATGATCAGAACCTACATCCAAGCAAAGAATTATAATAACTTATACCGATTTAAATTGTAAACACTAAATGGCTGACATGAATCAACATTAAGTGAAGATATAGGATTGTTTTAAGTAGCAGCCAACAGCAGCTGTTTGTCTAAGAACATAAAGCTTCTTGAAAAGGAAAATATTAACCAATCAATGGTATTGTATATCAGTTATCCAAATCTTAAGGATTTTGCTGGGGGGGGGGATTAGCAATCACTACAAGTACTGTTGAATTCTCCCATAGGGGAATGTCTGATTCTCAGTTGATTACCCAGCTTTAGAAAACTGGAATAAGTGTTAAAAATAAATATTTCTGGAATAGTCATATGCCTCGTTCTTTTGATTGCATACAAAAGCTGTAAATAGCAGTGGTTTAAAAATTTAATTTCTTCAGTAACATCTAGAAAATGTCCGAAACAATTTCCAGTGTGTGCTTGTCAAGTGCAAAGAATCAGGATCACATGTTAAGTTCCAGTTAAGTAGGTTTATTGCTCATGCCTATAACCAAAATCTAGTCAACTAACTGTCAGCACTAAATTGGTACTAGGCAAGAGTCAATGGAATTGGAGCATTTGTGGACACATAACAATTCTCGGCTGAGTTGTCTCTTGACTCCATCTCCAAGTTCTGTTTCTTCCCCTACAGCATTGCTTGAAACACAAACAGCTAGTCAGGTGCATGACTATGTCAGTGCCATTATAAACACAGCGTTACTGGGTTACCCAACAAGAAATGTAAGTATGCTTATAGGAACCATGTTGTTTTCAAAATTGCAAACATGTATTTAGAAAAGAATCTAATGGAGTAAAATCTTTTAAAAAGCCCAGTGCAGTTCCACTGCACTTAGCAATTGTGGAACACTAAACAATAATTAGGGAAAAAAGAAAACAGAAGGACAAGTAATCATACTGAATTGCTTTAATTCTATAGAGCATCACATCATGCTATGTTTCATTGTAACTCTGCGTAATTTATCTCCCTCCTGCTTGACACAGAGAGAAAACATCACGTTTGATTGGGCTTAGCTTTAGACTAATGGGATTTTGCCAAACTTTGTTCACAAATCTCAAGTTTATTTATCAACATTATAAAGAATGAAAGCTTGATTTCAAAAGATTCTATCAGATACTAAGTCATACTTTCAATACATATTTGCAAAGAACTATTTGTATAACCTGGAGAAGAATTTTCAGCATTCTTGGCAAGAATTATGTTATCATTAACAGACATCAGTTAATTTATGATTGCCAAGGTAAGTAGTTTCTCGGTTAGCTGAGAAGAATGGAATTTACTCTTTCTCCTTCAGAAGAATTTGGTGCTACGTTTCTGTACTTTTATAGTAATACTGAAAACATTGCAGCACATGAGAAAATCATTTAATATTTTAAAACATGGTGTGGAATGGATGTAATTGTCTTCCACTTTGGAAGAAATAATGTAAGAAATCCATCAAACAGTATTAGCAAATTGTATTTTGTATTGTAGTAATAGAACACAAATGTTGCAAAAGATTGCATGACTCTATACGGGATTGTAATGAAACATATCACTTTAGAAAGTTATTTCAGTTATGATGCTAATGACTAGAATAGTCATATTGTTTAGCCTGAAGTCAAGATTAAAATTACAGGATTACCCTATCCGTAATAGCAGTTCGTCAGACATATGTCAAATTTCCTGTCACATGTAGAAGTGACAGACATTTTACTGTTTGCCAGCAACAGTAAACCAGATTTTATATTGATTTTATAATCTGTATATCTTAAGCTTTAGTTTGAGAGATATTAATTTGTAAACTCAGTATTTGTTACAATTTAACAAATCACTGCCAACATCAAAAGAAAGTATATTTGATTTACTAGGGAAAGGCTAAAGAGTCTCTGGAGAAGAAAACTCACTAGAAGAGATTGTAATCAGCATATGAAGGTACAAAGAGCAATGCTAACCTGCTTATGATTGATTCATAACACATTTTTCCCACACATACCTTAGCTGGAGGAACTTTGCCAGCTGCCGTGATCTGACCGGTGAAAAAACGACCAAAATTATTAGCTGCAAGTATAACTGCCTTGTAACTGTTAAAAGAAGGAAAACCAGCAATCAGTATTATTGCATCTACATTTCTCCATAGATATGGTATGGTTTCTGTGTGTGGCTTCAGAGTGTAGCATTTGCTGATCTACCTATCTTCTGTTCCCATTCACATAACCAACATAGCATAAAGCATAGTTCAAATGAATCTGGTAACTGAAAGAAAGAATGCGTCACAACTGGTCATCAGAAAGCTGGATACAATGTGAATCATGGAATGAAAAAACCATGTTAAAGCACAGCTACTAATTGTGAACAATACATTGTTACTGACACTATTATATCAATCGATTTGCCATCAGTTGTGTGTATGCTTCAATTGCTCCTGGTATCAAAATATGAGTCCTGCTTCAGTCAGCCTGAGAAAGCAGTTCATATACAAAGAAGTTAAATCCATGGAAACACATCATCAGCCAGAAAAGCTCACAGCAAAACTTCAAAATAGCAAAACAAATATTTTGAACCCAACTTCAAATGGTGGCTATGAGGAAGCCACCCTGAACTCCTGCAGGACAAGATGTTTGTTAATCTAACATAAAAAGATTTATTTACAATTACTACACGATTTTCTTTCTGCTTTTCTTGTAGCATATCTCCTCCTTCAGTGTCAAATTTCCTGTCACAGGGAATTCCTTCTTCAACTAGTGCAGGGGTGTCAAACTCAATTTCACTGAGGGCTATATCAGGGTTGTGTTTGGTCTTGGGGCGAGGGGGTCTGGCCAACTCAACATCACTCATCAAGGCTTCCATTTCGGCTGTGATGGCTTCCTGCAGTCCTCTGCCAGCGAAAATGGCACTCAGGGTGCGGCCTTCCCAGGCTCCATTTTGGCCACAATGGCCTCCTGCAACCTTCTGCCAGTAAAAATGGAGCTCTGGGAGGACGCACACAGCCCTCCTGAGCTCTGTTTTCACTGGCAGAGGCACCATGGGCCGGTCCTTCGCTGTTTCCAGGGCGGGCCCGTGGGCCAGATCTAAGCAGCCTATGGGTTGGATCTGGTCGGTGGGCCTTGAGTTTGAAACCCATGAACTAGTGGATATGAGTATATTGTGAGATGGGACACTATATAAATTTGATTAATAAATAATAAATAAATGATGGCTTCAAATTTTTGTTTTTCCCTTGCACTAAGATGACCATTTTTCACATTTATGACTATTGTAGCATCCCTACGGTCAGATGATCAAAGTTCGGAGGCTTGACAACCGGATTTATGCATGACAATGGTAGTGTCCTGGGATCATACGATCACCTTTTTGTGATCTTTCGACAAGCAAAGTCAATGGAGAACCCAGACTCACTTAAACAACTGCAATGATTCACTTAAAAACTGTGTCAAGAAAGGTCATAAAATGGAACCAAACTTTCTTAACTGTCTTGCTTAGCAACAGAAGTGGTCATAAATTGAGGATTATCTGAAGGCACTACTTTCTGAGAACTTTCCAGTTGTTAGAAACTGGAATTTCTTTGTCCTCTGTCTGGGCTGCTTAAGGGCAATGAATTTGTTCTGCTCGCTGAAGAGGAAAGCACACATTTGTCTTAAATATGAATTCCACTCCATATCAAATTCTTTATTAATGTCAATTCATAAAATATTTCTATGGTCATTTTAGAGTTGCCAATAGAAAGGGAGGGAGGAAAGGGGTTTGAAAGAGCAGTGCGGCAGCTTGGAAATCAAAAGTACATTCCATAAATAGTTTTTCAAGGATAGTGACTAGGTGACTGAAGCTTCTGCTGCACAAATATTTAATTGGAGAATATGACTGATGACTCTTGGCTATGGATGTGTCTCATTGGAGAATATGAATTATGATACACCCAGGGAATGGGGGAAAACCAGGGTCAAGGGTGACAATGAATTATGTGTCTCAGAGTCAGCTACACCCAGGCAGTGCCGGACATGTTAACTCCCAATAAATCATTTTGAAGTTTTGGAAATTTGGATCAAGACTCATGATTTAATTGGGGTAACTGCCGGAATCCTGACAATTAACAGAATTCTGCAAATGAGTAAAAACAGTATGTGGTATCATACCCAGCAATGTTGGCCATAGAGCTGAGAGCATCATATCCCTGAGCAATGGTCACACGTGGAACCTGATCCATAGCCAAGACAGTGGTGTTTTTTTCTGCTAGTTTGTTCAGCAGATCTGGGTTTTGAGCTGGATAGATAAAACTGATCAGAGTACCTTGTGATTTAAAAAGCTCAATCTCATGGACGCCAAGTACAGAATTAAACATTGGAGCCCTCACCTAGAGAAGAGCAGAAAAAGAGTTGAATCACAAAAAACTCATAATGCAATATATCAAAATAAAACAATATTCTAATTATATTAATTTTTAAAAGCATTTCATGCTTTGCTTTAATTGCTGTATTTATTTTGTGAACTCCAAGTAGAATAGCTCTACAAATACGGGAAACAAATGAAATGCCATTTAATAATTTTGTGCTTAATAGCTACATTATTACATATAGTTAATTAACATTAGCAATTTATAAATGATTATATTAAAGCATGTAAGCCCCAAATAGGACTAACATTCAAAATAGCAATTGGCAAATGCCTTAATTACTTGTTTAAAAAAGAAAAAGCACAAGAACTGGTACTGGTTAAGAAGTCAAGAAAGAGAACAGAGAATTTTTAACTCTTTCTTCCTACTGCAATCTCAGTTGGATGGACCTGCAACGTCTGTCAATTGTACTGTAGGGGGAAGCCCTAATTCGGTTACCTAGAAATATTTTTCCAACGCAAAAGGGTATTGGAAAAGAAGAATCCAGAATCTATACACTTGCTAACGGTTTGGAAGATTTAATTTTCTCTTTCTTTACAATAGGAAATTCCTTCAGTAAATGGTACCTAACTTTTAATGAATAATTCATGGTTCGTGCTGAACTCTCCCCTTCGGGCTATAACTCTCACACACAAAAATTCAGAAATGACCTTGCATTGTTTTGGAGAACATGAGCTTGTAGGACAAGGACAATGTCTTATATATTTCTTTAAAGTTGGGGCATCCTAACTGCCAATTCATGCTTAATAATGCCTCTTTTTGAAAATTCCCCTGTGAATAGAATAGAATAGAATAGAATAGAATAGAATAGAATAGAATAGAATAGAATAGAATAGAATTCTTATTGGCCAAGTGTGATTGGACACAAAAGGAATTTGTCTTTGGTGCAAAAGTAAAAAAAGATGAAGAGTTCTGTTCCTAAGATCACCTACCAGTAATAACCTGAAAAATTATCTTAACAGAATTCCTGGACAGATCTTGCCCATCGATATAAATCAGTGATTCTTAATCTGTTTGACCCAATTACCCTTCTCCCAATCTTGAATATCACCACTCTCCTGCAAAAAATCACACTAACAGAGATGCAGCTATTTACAAAAGCAACTTAAAAAACTGGATCCTCAACTCACAAACAAGCAATTACAAATTGCTCCATTACTACTAGGATACGCCCAAATTATCCTTCGGGTAATTACCCCTACTTTAAGAATTGGTTATTTCAGTATTTCTCAGCAGGAATGCTGGTTTTGTGTGAAAATAGATTATTCAAAACAAGGAAGAGTCGAGTTGACGAAAGCTGTCTAGTTAGATAATTTATTATTTTATCTGTTATTATTTAGTGTTTCTCAACTTAAGCAAATTTAAAATGGATGAAGTTCAACTCACTTAATTCCCCAGCCACCCATGCCCGCTAGGGAATTCTGAAAGTTGATATCCACCTATCTTAAAAGTTGCTTGAGAAACACTAGACTAGATAGTATCAAATAAAATAATAAATTATTTTATTAGATAAAATAGTTTTCACCAACTTGACTCCTCCTTGTTTTGAGTCATTTATTTTCACTCAAAACATTGACAGCAGCATTCCTGTTGTCAGTGTAGACAAAAGGACAATTAATCATCATTAAAGATTCAGTTTGTGGAACTAAAATGTTAACACAATGTTGCCACTGCAAAGTAATGCAAAATGGACTTTGCTCAGTCAACAGTTTGCCTGGTAACTTGCATCTGCTCTACAGCAACTGAAGTTTGCTCTCTGCAAGACAAAGCTTTATCAGATGTGCTTTGTCCTGGTTCCAAAGAAATCTGTGCTAAAGTTTCTAATGCTGTGCATGTTTTTAAAATGCATTGCTTGTGAAAGATTTCAAATGATGAAGCTAGCTAGTAAAAGTGACTTAATTCTGTAACTTTAACACCATGATTCACATTCAAAGTAACTACCATAGATCAAAATTATACTATGCAAATAGTATTTTAAGAGGATGTCTGAAGAATTAGGATAGGCCCCAGAATTCCTGATAGCTACTAGCAACATAGCAAGTCCTACGTGAAGACACATAGCAATTATGTATCGGTAGCAATTCTCTTATACAGAAAGGCAGTACAGTGTTGTTGGGGTTAAGGTGCTGACCTAGAAACCAGGAGATTCTGAGTTCTAGTCTCACCTTAAGTGTGAAAGCTAGCTGGATGACTGTGGCCCAATCCCTCTTTCTCAGCCCAATCTACCTCACAGGGTTGTTGTGAGGAAAATAAGAAGGAGCATTAGGTATATTTGCCACCTTGAATTATATATATGGTATGTGCAATTTCTCAAAATCAAACTTTTGAATTCAACATGCCTGAGTTCAAAATTGCTTTGGACGTTTGAAACAGTTGCTTCACATTTGAAATGGTTTTTTTCCACCACTTGGGAGATGTTTTGAGCTTGAAATGCTTCCAAGATGATCAGAACAATTCATTTCAAATACAAACCATCTACTTTAAACTTAATTATTTTAACAATTTGAACTCAAAACATTTTCCATAATGCATGCACAGGTAGTCCTCACTTAATAACCACAACTAGGTGCTATCGTGCTATCATGTGATCATGATCTGGGATTTTACTGCTTGCTTCTCTACTAACTTTGCGTATTGGAAGCCAACTGTGAAGCACACATATGGCAATCCCTCGACTATGGGAATATGGTCAACAAAATGAGGGCCACCTGTATATACTTACATTTGTTTGGACCACTATCACTAACTGTTGTATCTTATGATTCTTGATGAATGTATTTCTTTTATGTACATTGAGAACATATACACCAAAGACAAATTCCTTGTGTGTCCAATCATACTTAGCCAACAAAGAATTCTATATTTATTCTATAGCTTCATGCATTTATATTGCAAGTCAAATTCCCTGTTGATTGACCAGGATAAACAATAAACTGGTTGATCAATTTAAGGATAAACCAATGATAAAGTGGCACTGGCTTCTTTTAATATTCCTTATCTCATAGGTCTACTATATGTGCAGGCTTTCTGAGTTCAATTGAGTTTTCTTGAAATTCCTCTTTCACATATCTGGTTTTTACATTAAATAGCTCTGGCATCTTCTTTTGTTTAGGAAGCTGATAGTGCTGTGTCTCCTGTGTGTGTTCCTGCCAACTCCAAAAATGCATTCAAAATATCTATGACACAAATCTGTCCCACCTAATTCTTCATTAATAGAAATTTATCCCATTTCCTTAAATGAGTCTCTTATAGATAAGCAATACCTGACTGTAATGATTTTAAATATGTGAAGATTGTGTTTCCCTGCAACTTTTACATTAAGACAAACTTCATCCATAAATTTTACCTCTTTTATATTTAAAAATTTTTGCACATCCTTATTATCTAGTCTTCATTTTTAAAAATTTATTTAAGAAAATTTATATGACAACCCAACTCATTTTCAGTGACTCCAGACTGTTTGCTTACAAGGATTAAAAAAAAATCCAATATAAACCAATAAAAGAGAAATAACCCCCAACCACCTGCAACAACAAAATAGAGAAACTTTTTTTATAGAAAAACTGATCTCAGAGGTGTAATAGTAAACAGACAATTATTACCTTGAGGACTATGTCACAAGCCAACGCTTCCTTGGTGCCCTGGATCTGTGCTCCAGCCTGTCTATAGTGGTCATCAGAGAACTTAGCAGCTTCTCCTGCACTTGACTCCACAATAACGTTAAAACCCTGCTTAACCAGTGCTTGAACTCCAGCTGGTGACAAGGCAATCCTTTTCTCATTTTGAAAGATCTCCTTTGGAACACCTACAGTCAATTTCTTATATGGAATACCTATAAAGGCAGCAATACAAACAGTATCTAAACTAACAGTTAAAAGGCTGAGCATATTATAATATCCTATGCAAAGTATTATTTACATGCACAGTAAATCAATTTTTAAAAAGCATTTATTTTAAACATAGTAAATATTAGGAACAGAGCCCAGAAGTCAAGCACAAAGCGGGGGGGCGGGGGGGAGAGTTCTTATCAGCACTGCTGACCAAACACTAACTTCCATTCTGCCACCTTTCAAAAGGCAGGTGCAGAATGCATGGTGAGGTTTAACAATAACTGCTTCTATTGAAGAAGCCAAGTGCACACTTCCCCTCATTCCTTTATCTTTCCTCAAAAGCACAACACAGGTGTTGGATAAACAAAATAGAAAACAATAGTGGAAACTGCAGCTATCACATATGCAGGGATCCCGCCTCTAATATGGGTGCCATCACAGAGTACTATTTGCTTATAGGAGATACAGCAGTCATCAACTTATCAACCCTAACCTTTAAAACGTACAGTAGCACTGAAAAAAGTGACTTGTGACCATTTTTCACATGACGATTGCAGCCTCTTCATGGTCACATGATCAAATTTTGAATTGGCTTGTATTAATTAGTTGCACTATCTCAGGGTCATGTGATCACCATTTATAACCTTCCCAGCTGGCTTCCCACAAGCAAAGTCAATCGGGGAAACCAGATTCACTTAACAACCACATGACTCACTTAAAAACCGCATAAGTCACTTAACCTGTCAACTCATATAATGTTTCTCTGGTCTTTTTAGAGTTGCCAACAGAAAGGGAGTGGGGAGCAGGTCAGCTTGCATCCCATAAATGTTTTCAAAGATAGTAACTAGGTAACCCAAGTTTCTGCCACGCAAAATTCTAACTGGAGAGTATGATTGATGACTCTTGGCTATGGATGTGTCCCATTGGAGAATATGAATTACGATAAACCCAGGGGGTGGGGGAAAACCAGGGTCAAGGGTGACAATGAATGATGTGCCTCAGCTACAGCTACAGCTACACCCAAGCATGTTTACTTCTAATAAATCTTCTTTAAGTGTTGGAAGTTCAGCTAGAGACTCATGATTTAAATGGGGGTAACTGCTGGAGCCCTGACATAACCACTGCATGGTTCATTTAACAACTTGCCATGATTTGCTTAACAGCTGTGGCCAAAAAAGCTCATATCCTGGGGCACAACTTACTTAACTACATGCACTTACTATTGAGCATTCACTTTGTTGAAACAAAGCCTGTATCCAAAGAAGCACTCAAACCCTACTGCTATTGTCCTTTTTTTAACTACATTGATACATTCAGCATTACCAGCCATGGGCAGTTCACCACTTACAACTGTAATGAGCCTGCCAGGGTTTTTTTTTTTTTTTGGGGGGGGGGGGGGGGGTTCATCTGACTGTGTGGGATGTGGGTGGGCAGCAGCCATCAGAATTTCACAACTAGGTGATAAGTACCCTGGGGAGGTCTGTCATAATTTGGAAGGGTCATTACCTACACATAAGCAAGGCAATAAGAACTGACTACCTCTTAGGAAGAAGTTCAAATCATGCATTTATTAGTATAGCTGAAAAAGCACACACAAGTCCACTTTCCCACACAATTTAACTTCATTCCAAAATTCAAGCAGCAATATTATACATACTAAGGAGATTACTATGCAGATTCTTAATACTACATCTTCCCTATGGATATTTTTCTTGGTATAGCAACATTTCTGGAAGAAGTTGGAGAAGACAACTACTGTAACAATTATTCTATGTATTCTATTTTCTCAAAAATATGTTTGATGCATACTTTTATTGGTCTTTTCTATTATATTCCACTCCAGTTTGTGCATAACAAAGAATTAGATTCAGTTGTTACAGACAAAATAAATTGAACTCATAAAATATTTTATAGTCACTCAAACTTCCTATTCAACCAAATACTCAACTTCTTCTGTCCTATCAGGAAAAGAAAAAAAACAGAAATATATTTCTCTGAAGGAAAAACAAGCAACAAAGGCAATAATTCTCATATGTAACAAGCCAAAAAAGGAAGTTATTCCCGTTTGTTTCATCAGGAGCCCCCTTTAACTGTGTTGCATTATTCACAAAGCTAACTATTATTATTTTTTAAAAAAATTTATTGGTTTTTAAAACAAACATAAACAAACAAAACAT